ATATCGTATACATTACACAACATAACACCGTGAAGAAAATACTAGTATTGTAAAAGTCACACCTGTAAAATACAAATGTTAAATTCGTAAATACATAATCTTCAAAAAATACAAAGAAAGAACCGAAAAACAACATACCATCCATCACGGCCATTAATAGGGCATCTGAAATCCTTAATCATGAAAACCATTAAAACACCGAAGCTTGCAGCAAACACAAAATCAATTATATGTAATAAAATTCTTGATATTTTTTTAGCATCATTCCAGCGACGTACGCAATAAAGTACAAGGAAATATAAAGAAATTAATATAGAAAGTCCAGATACAACATATAAGAAATATATCGCAAATTTGTTTGCCTCAACTGGCGTCCCTTGTTTTGAGTACTGAAAAATAATAAGAAAAATGAAGGCTGTTAAATTAGCATGAAAATTTTATAAAATTTTCTAATATTTACCAACGGTGCGCCAATAATAAATCCAAGAGCCCCGGCACTAGCCACCAAAGTCGATAACCTAAAAAAGAACCTTTTCCCACTTGGTCTGTGTTTCTTTTCAGGTTTTTCAGGGGGGTTCAATTTTGAAGGATCAGTAGTTTCAACCCCAGGATTCACAGCAGACGCAAGACTTACTGATACATTATTATCATTTGAATTTTCTTTTTTTTCAGCAATAGCTTCTGTGTTTATTGTAGTGCTATTATTATTCTCATTACCACCAGTATTTTTGTTAGCATTTGTTCCAGCAGCAGTGGTATAAGTATTCGTTTCAGTACCAATACTACTACTATAAGTATTTGCTTCAGCACCAGTTGTATAGGTATTCGTTCCAAATCCGGTATAAGCATTCGTATCAGCACCAGTGGTATATGCATTCGTTCCACCATATGCATTAAAGTTATTACCAGTTTCACCAGTATTACTATAAGCATTAGCACCATATGGATTTATTGAATCGTAGGTATTAAAATTTTGATTTTGAAATGGATTGTAGTTAGGATTATACACATTTGTATTATAATCCGCATTTTGGTTGAAATTTGTAGTTTGATTATAATTTGGGTCATAAGTATTCGCAATACCACCACTTGGCACCTGTGAATGACCAGCAGTAGGTTGATTGAATGTACCATTATCATAAAATGGATTATTATCATAAGCGTTTAATTGTTGCTGCTGTTGTTGATATTGAGGATTATATTGCTCATATGGCTGATTATAAGATAATTGGGAAGGTGGATTCGCCCAAGCATTATGAGGAGGATAAAGTTGAGTATCTTGAGGCTCCTGAGAAGGATGCTGCTGTATGTCTTGAGCACTTTGAGTAGGATATAGTTGTGTATTTTGAGGTTTATCACTTTTTTGAGAGCCATCAGCAGTAGAAATATTTATATCTTGATTTTGGCCCGCCATTTATTAACAGTAATTTTAAAAAAATGTCTATTTATTTATTTTATGATAGCAATACGTATCTATCTTTTCGTTAAATATTATCACAAGTAAACTATTTTCAGAATATTTTTAGAACATGCCGAGAGAGTTAAGCTAAACAAAAGGAAATGGAAGTGCTTTTTATATTTTTTATATGCAATAAATGTAATACACAGCCACTGGAGTGATCGATTTGGTTGACGAGATTTTCACGTGATGAATTTTGTATAACAGAAAATTAAACTCAGCCCTATTACATAGCGATAGTGGGCATATATACGTATAATAACCTGCAATGGCATCTTATTTATATCGATATATACTGTTTATATTTTTAATTTGACTTTTTTAATTACACCGAACAGAACTTTATCTAAGTGCATAAACACAAAAATTAATTTTTCTTGGCTGAATTATTAAAAGAGTTTCGATATCATTTGTGTACTTTTGCCATGACGACTAGTGTTGTGTCAATTAGTATCACATAGTTTCGGCAATAAGAGAAAAGTAGCCGAAACTAATGCTATACTAATTATCATATGGTTTGGGACGTTTGGGTCACATCTATAATGACGACTATCGAAATTCTACCAGCTAACATTAGTGAAATTATAAAATTTTCAATTTTTTATAAACCATAAACAATTTATATAACTACAAAAAAAAATAAGAAAATCTTCAATGCCTTATAACTAATTTGTTATGGCTTCTAACATAGGCAAAAATTTGTTTGATTAGCAGTTGCAAATTTACTAATCGGACAGTTCATTTATACGTATACTTATTTCTATAGTGTACAATACTTATAGTTAGGGTTTTCATTAACTGTAATAAAATATGTAAACTACTTTTGAAGTAATTTATGTTTTATTATTCAGTCAGACCCCTTTAAATGCAACCCTTCTTAAATGCAACTCCTCTTAAATGCACGCCATATGAAAAGCCCCTTAAGCACGTACATATTTTTTTTTTTGGGTTCACTAATATAATATTTATAGATTTGTGTTACCCTAAATATTATACCTCTCTAAATATACGGTTAACTAAATTTTTACAGCATAATGAATTTAAGATCTGATTGTAATTTAAAGTATTTTATTAGTAATCTTATTTATTTCTTAGCAAGCAAATTTGTCTGCTCAAATATATACTATAAAATTAGTTTTGTTTTGTTTTTTTTAAGGATAAAGGGTACATAGATTAGTGTTATATGATTTTGATAATACAATAAAATTTATATAGAAAATAAAAATGTGTTACTAATAAAACTTTAAAATTATAATTTGATGCACTATGCATTATGGTGTATCCATTATACTTTAGTGTAAGTATATTAGTACATAACAGTTTTTTTAGTTAAATTACATAACTTTGTGTAATATATATGACCTTGTATAACATAACACATAACCTTGTATAACAGCATAATATATATCTGTTATATAAATTATATATATCAATTAGGTGTATTTATTTATATTATATAAGGGATGCACCATGATGCAAGTGCATTATTTTAAAAAATTCTAAAATTTTTTATAGTTGTAATTAATTTTAGTTAAAATTTTATAAAATATAAATAAAATAATTTATTTATTATAATAAAAATTTTGATCTATTATATCATTTTATTTTTTTTATTTTTTTATTTTTTTTTGTTAAAGGTCATACTTTGTGATAATACTTTATTGACTTATATTAGATTAGTTATTACAACTATTTATACAAAGATAAGAGTACAACTAGTCACACATATAACTTTTGGTTGCCTATTTAAGTAGTTCACCCTAAGGTTCTACACTAAATTTTATATCTATAACCTACTAAAAGATTATCTATTTAAATCTTTTGATCATCTGCTTTATCATAATGTAACTCCAACTAACTTCTTGTATATATGTACCTAATCAGTATACCATCTAAGCAGTATAGTATCTATTCTTTTTAAACTAATTCCCAAGCTGTTACACATTTTAGAGTACATTATCTGCCAGTAAGATGCAGAAGGCCTCTTGTTGTTAACTATTTACTCACTTTTAAAACACTAACAAGGGTTATCTTTACAGAATTTATCTAAACCTTGGTACTAACTTTATAGCATATTTTTAGTACTTTTAGTATACTTCTGCTTTGATTTCAGACTTTCAATCCAAATAGCCTAAAAGAACTGTAATCCGTTTTTGGTATATTGAAACTAGCCCAATATCCTTTTTCTTCAGTCTGAAATTCAGCAGCTTGGTTAGTAATATCTCTTATCTAAGATTCTTGCCTACTTGATTCTTTTACATTAGTATTCATTTTCTAGGTCTAGCCTTTATAGTAGTATTATTGAAAATTTGTATTACCTCTTTGCTTAAAATTTCCAAATAAGCTTCAGCTTCTCAGTTTTACAAATTTAAATAGCCCAAGAACTTATTTTAGATTTGCATTACCCAGTATTGGTTTGCATTTTTTTGTATAATTAAAGTTATACAGATGCTTCAGATTTGCTAGTTATGCTAATATAACTATAGTTACAGGTATTCTATTTCAACTAATCAACAGAATGCTATTGCCATAATACTGTCTATATATTATATAAGTAATTATCTAAATTTTGCTGTTGATAGGTTTTGAATTCACAACCTATCATTTAGAAGTATGACAACTTATTCACTTTACTAAGTCATTACACTTTTATTATATTATTTTAAAAATATACTTATATATATTACAAAGTTTTTCTAAATTTAGTTATACAAAATTATTTAATTAGTTTTTATAACTTAGTTAGATTAAAGTTTGAAAACTTATAAAATATATTTTTATATTTTAATAATTGGATAGGTTTTTAAAAAAGAACTTAATTAGGTATTACAACTCTATAATATACTTATACATTGCATTTTTATGATTGACTAATCAAATTCCAATATTAAGTATAATAATATAATTAAGAAAAAGTTTATTTAGGGGTGTGATGACCTAATAAAATGAATAGGTTGTTAACCTTCAAGTGGCAGGTCTAGAGTTCAAATCCCAGTGACAGTAAAATTTGCAATTTTTTCTATATTATGGTTAACTATCTTCTGTGATTGGTTAGGATAAAATACTTGTAACCTGTATTATACTAGTATAACTAAAAAATCTAGGCTCTAGGCACTTGTACAACATTGTATAAAGAAACACAAACTGGTACTAGGCAATATAAACTCAAAATAAGTCTTTAGGCTATATAAATTACAGAAACTAGGTAGAAAAACAAAAGACTATTTGGAAGATCTAAGTAGAGAGGTAATCTGAACTTTCGATAATGTTACTTTAAAGACTAGACTTATAAAACAGAACTAAAACTTGTAAAACTGAGCAAATGTGCCAGTCTTTAAGATGAAACTAGATGAACCAACCAGGCTAGTAGAATTTTCAGGTTTTAGAGAAAAAGAATAAATGTTTACAAATATATAAACCAGAAATGTATAGTTTTGACCTACCTTTTTAGACTATCTGGCTAGCAGTTTAGCAGAATTTGAATTGAATACCAAAGTAGTAAGGATATGTTATAAAGTTAGTACTAGAGTTGGAGTGAACTCTATAAAAGCATAATGTTTTAATAGTACACTCTGACTACCAATGTTGATCTTAATTATAGTAATATCAAGTTAGCTATAATAATAAGATATAGAAGATTTTGGAAGGTTTAATATAAGGTCAAAGGTTCCAAAAAAATGCTTTAAAGACTTAGTGGTCATAGCATATTTTTATCAGCATTGGTTAGGATCATTGGTAAACAGAGGTAGATAGATAAATACAAAAACTAGAGTAGTTAAATAGGAAATCTACAAGCAGGTTTCAGGTATAGCAGCTAGTGTAGAACCTTCAAATAGACTACTTAAATTAGACAATAACTAAAATTGTATAAGTAGCTAGTTGTACACTTTTTCTATGGTTGCTCTTATAGTTGTAATGCAACTATTAGCCAAATATACTATTAATAAAATCCTAGGTTGCAAGTACTCATCTTAATATTTAAAAAAAAAAAGTTTATTTTGACAAAAGTTACATATAACTCAAAATTTCACATATTAATCATCTTTTGCACTCTAATAAAAAAAATTTTTTAAAAATTTTTATTATAAATTATGTTCTATTTATTGGATTTAATCCTACATAACTCTAACCTTAACTAAACAAAAAACTAGTTTATTTTAGTTGTTAAATTATAATTTGTAATATATGCAATGCATAAGCATATCACAATATGTGATATATACATTTATTTTTTAAAAAAAATTTATAAAAATTTTATAAAATTTATATATAAAAATTAAAAAAAATAATCAGTTAGATTTATTTAAAAGTTTTATATTATGAAAATTAAAATATTAAATTTGTATAATTTTAGCTTAATATTTTAAAATTATACAAATTTATTAAACTTGATTAGTTAATTTATATTAATTTATAAGTTAATTTTATTATATTTAATCTTTAAAAATTTATATTTTACTAAGTTGTTAACTAATTTTAAAAATTTTACTATTATTAAAATTTTGCTTTTTTTTTTTTTTGCTTTCACTAAGGCTATTAGTTATTGGTAGCTACTGTTTTATTGTAAATTTAATTATAATTATATAACTTGTACAAAGTTATCTCTATACTACACTAGCAGATAGCATACAAGTTTTTATATACTATTATAGAATGATTTATTTTATTTTATTTTTTTTTGGTATTAAGATGACTTTTTTGGTCTTTTGACTTTTATTAATTACTTATCAGTATTGTGGTTCAATGAACCATTACAGAAAAGCGTACAATTGGCTACACATGTAACTTTTTTATATTATCTATTTAAGGAGTCTGCCCGAAGGTTCCCCATCAATTGCTGTACCTAACACTTCTGCTTGGATGTTCCACTTTAAACTCTCTGAACCTGTAACCTGTGTTAATATCACTGGTCATCTCAGATGTACCAGATCATTGTCCTCAACCTTAGGACTAAT